CATATTAAAAAAAATACTAGTTTCTTGTCCCCTCGTGCTTTAATTTTCTTTATTTTACAAAAATCTGGCTAACTCACATCAGTTAAATTCCTCTCTTGATCGTGGTTGGGGATACATTACAGTAGTATGAATCATGTCTAGTTTTTCTTTTATTTGGTTTCAATGTGTCTACTTGGGAAAAGTGTGAAAGTAGTAACTGTTTCCCATTTTGGAGCTGCCCTTAATCTCGTTTTTTCAAACATTAGGACGAGAAACTATTTTTTTTTACTTGGCCTAATAAATTAATCAAATTAAGGTTATCAAAAGTGGTGAAAGGAGATTTAAGCCCACAACACTTCAGACAAGTCTTTTGTTATACCTTATTTAGCGAACCCACCGCCCGCCAATAGTCATTTTGAATAAAAATAAAATTTTATTTTTAGCCAATTAGCGCACCCACCACCATGAAAATGGAAATTTCAGAAAAAAATTAAAGTTCTTTATTTTTATTACGATTTTATAGTTTTCATGATTATGAAATCATTATCGAATCGACCTAGTGTAAAAACTTCTCTTATTTCTTTTATTTTCTATATGAACAATTGCTTTGTAGTTTTTTATTGTTATCGTTGCAAGTAGAAACTGGCTGGGGAGAAGTAAGAGCTATTTCACACCTTGAGACCGTTTTGGCATAAAGTGCTATATAAATCTAACTACAACAAACATTGATAAAGGATTGAGTTTTCAGAAATGTTCTAAAATATCTTAGAACAACATACAATGGGCAAGCGGACTAAGCCACATTGATCCCCTACCAAAAATTTCTCTTGAGCCCAACCGGCCTGGTGGATCTGATGACTTCAAGAAATTACATTTTCACCATGCATGCCTGATGTATGCCCATATATAGCCATGACATGCCTATATATGGGCATGATGTGATGTTACCACCATGACCATACTGAGGCATGTCATATTTTTTTGTCAAAATAAAATTTGATAGTCTTCTTTACAGAGCTTAAGGTAACGTGTTCCACCCAGTGGTGGATAGGATATAATTTTAGGGGGCCCCAAGATGTCCGACTGGGGATATAGGAGGGGGTGTTCCCTCTTTCCAAAACAAGATTTTTTTTTTTTAAATTGGGATTTCTAGCTGGAATGGGAAACTAGGCCTATTTTTTTTTTTTTTTTTTTTGGTTCAACTGCTTTTTTTTTGGTCCGACTGCCCAACGAGCTTTAGTAGATTGGGGGGGGGGCTTAAAGATCCCTGCCCCGCCGCCACTGGTTCCACCAGTGTGGACGGCTCAAGTCCAGACCAATACTTGATGAACTGTTTGGGTTTAATTTATATACCATAAAACCTCGAATTTAAGCCCTGGGCTTCCTTTTTTTCGGTCAAACTTTGGATGGGCTTCTGTTTGAGGCTTCTTTTGCAAAGTAAAGAGGGGATGGATGCTGTAAATTTTAGGAATTACTACTATAAAACAAAAAATAGGGCCACTGCAACATCAATCTGTATCATAGAGTGTATTAACCAGCATTAAATCACCTAAACTACTGTATAAACCAAGCGTGTTTTTAATTTATTTTGTTGCTTTGAAATTCATGCACAGTGTATGTACTGTACTATCCATGCTATCTTGAAAACATGGGCTTCTTTTCGAGGCTACTTTTGTAAACTAAAGAGGGGGCTTCACTTCAAGGGTTTTACGGTGTAACTACTTGAATTTGTTCTACAAACACGATAATCGAAGAGACGAGAAACCAAATAAGATCATGTATGTTTTACTATATGTTGACATATGCCAACACACTATCACTGTCTCTTGTTTCTTCTACATACATATATTTATGAAGTAACATACATAAGATATAAAACAACTTAACATAATTTGTCATCAAATCTACAGATCTGACAACTAATGAACCGGTTCATTGAGAGTGTTTCTATAAAATGATAAATACTGCAATTTGTTACTTATGAACTGGTCAGGTTGAAACCTTTATATATTTTGCATCGCAGCCATCAGAAAATTAATGGCTCCGATATAAATGACTATCCAACAAACCAGAAAACATTGTTACGGTATTACTGTACAAACTTCAATAAGCTTCCTACAACACAAAAACATTTAAATAACATTTTTCCATAAAAAATATCAATCAATCAATCATTGAGATTGAAACAAAAATTTATCTACAATTGTATCTTCTCTTGTTTCAAAATTCATCTTTATACACCAGACAAAGATGCAAAACACAAATTGACAATAAATAAGAAGATTAATAATGACCCTGAAACACAATCACTGTGGATGCAGAGCAAGTACTGTATATATGCATGTCTTCTTACTACGAGACAAACAAGCTTTGAATATTACTTCATCACCATTAGCCCCCATAAACCCCTGCCTGTCATATGGTGATGACTATTTCAAGACGATATTACAAGCCTCCATTTTGAGCTTTCCTCATCCAGGTTTTAGGTTTAACCACGATGATGAAATTTTCTTTAACAAAAAAAAAATGTAGTATGCCCATATATAGTCATGATGTGCCTATATATGGTCATGATGTGATGTCATCATGACCATATTTAGGCATGTAACATGTTTATGTTAAATAAGAAGAAAAACAAAATCAATTTCATCTTCAAATTACCTTATTTGCAAATTTAAATAAGTTATTAACAATTAAAAATATGAATGATAAAATATTGTCCATGTTAATTACATTTCCTGTATTCTTTTACATAGGCCCTTAAATTGGCTGGTAACCAATTTAAGGAATTTTTTGGTAAAATGTATGCAAATCAGCGACAAATACATCTTTTTTACGATCTGTTTTTCATCATACGTTAATAAGTTATTTGATCACACCTTTTTCTTTCTTTTTAATTTGTTGACTGTTAATTTTTTACTTTTGTTGCTAGGAAAGGCTAGGCCAGTTGCCAACACTATTCAAGCGCTTGTGAGTCATGTACCTGGTAAAAGGTGTGATAGTGTTCGTTCCTCTGCGTTAAGGTAGATTCACACCGAATCCGGTTCTTAGAACGTTTTCGATGCACGTCTTAGTACACGCCTCTATTCTTCACCACTGATTCGATTTTCTTTCTTTCTTTTCTTAGCCATACGAACCGAATTCGGATTCGGTGTACCTTTATTCTGTTTCAGATTTCTATTTCAGCATGGTTAGCTTAGTTGACCTACTAGAATACATTTTGTTGTATTTGTTTTCTCTACAGCACATAGAGATAACGTACTGCGCTATATAAGTCCCCAACCATCACCATCTTTTTAAGTGAATTATTCAAAAGTTGAATTTGAATTTTTACATTTTTTTGGCAGGCAGTATATCTTTAGCCTGAACACCGAAATAAAATCATTTTCTTGGCCTCCGTTTATGTCCATCTGCTATTAGCATTCAACTCAACTAATTCCTCACCACAAAAACTGACCAATCAGAACAGGTCTAGGAAAATGCGCATCCTACAAACTCGTGTGCCGGCCCACAAATGCATATGCGCTTGAATATGTTTTTACATTGTTGTCTTGTGGGACCATACCAACAATATCCAAAAAGGGGGGTGGGTGTGCTTAATGGAAAGTTCCAATATTTGTTATTGCAATTGAAGAAGCAGCTACTCTGAAGGTAGAAAAGCATCCTCATCAACCAGCTTTCGTTGCCGGATACATTCCCAAATCCATTTTTCTGAGACACACTTCAAAGAAGAATCATTCTATTGACAAAAATTAACAAAATAGGTTAGTGAAGAAACACGCAGGCCGGGAAAAAGATTTTTTGTGCCTACGACTAAGAAATTTGTCTCGATAAAATGCCTCCTGCAACAAATGTTATCTGTACTCCTTATAGCCTAACACTTTATTTTTTTAAACATTTTTTCCCCTAAAAGTGCCTCCGAGACATTTATGATGCCTTGTCCGCCGGTCGCACAGTCACATACTTTTTCGAGCCCTGGAAAAAAGTAGAAATTTATCGTCCAAACCTAAGTTCTGGTTTGGGCAACTGCTTTTAATCTCACAAATATTCTTTTTTAGATCCAAAATCTATACATACTTATAGTACTACAGGCAAATAATTTTTAGGTTTATCCTTTATGGAATCATGAATTTTGTTCAATTGAAGACCACTTTTGGGACCATGGTTTCATGGTCTTTAGCAAAAACAATATTACTAAAAAGATGTAAGGTAGGTGTTCATTTAGAATGGCAGAAAGATCTTTAATTGGAGATGGTCTATCATTGGAGGGGTTTTTAATTAGAAGGAGACCTTTAGTATATATTTTTGGATATTCTGTATGAGGACTATCGTTGATCATTTTTAGCAGTGCATCGAGAACAAGTCTTGTTTCATGCATGTGCCAAAAGGGCTTTCAATCAAATTCCCAACCTAGCCCCAGTGGAGCTGGTTAAGATGTCTGCAAACACAGCAGAAGGCCCCAGGTTTAAATCCCGACTTTTATCACTCTCGCTGATACCTCCTCTGTTAATTATAAGGACTGAATCTAAAATCATAAATTTTACCCAATATTCTTAATAGAAAACAAAAATTATTCCAGATTTACCTGTTTGGCACTTTCTTTAATGTGATGAGTTGCATTAGCTTTGTTGAAATCATCCATGACATCACCATTGTATGCAATGATGTAACGTCGTAAGGACTTAATATTTGGATGTGATCGGTCAATGCAAACTTTGACCCCACTGAAGATGTCAAGAAGGCCCTAAATAGAAAACAAAATAAATTTGAATTTCTTGTTAGACATTCTCAATACTATTCTTTAAATAAATTTGCTGAAATTTATTATTACATTTCAATCATATGATTTACTATATAATTATAATGCTTACCTTCAGTATTGGTGAGCTGTGTCCATTTGGACTTGGGTGGCTGAACTTTGACCTGTGGCTTGGATTTGTTTGATAACAAGCTGCACCATATTGGCACATTAGTTTGCCCTAAAATTGGACAGAAATGGGATGGTCCATTATGATTAAAATTTAATGGTTGATAAAATAAAATAAAAATGAAAAATATACAAATGGAATACAGTACAATAGTCTATACACCATTTAATTGGGCGTAATTTTGAGAAAGCGCCACCAACGTTTGAAGACTCGCAACTTTTCATAAGTGGGCATCCAGCAGAGCAGCCGTAACAAATCAAACAAAAACACTGAATTGTATGGAGACACAGTGCTATACAAATGACACAGATTACTAAGGTTGAATTTGTCCTTTCAGCTGCACAATATGAGTAATGTCATTCGTACAAAATTGACGGGAAATTTTGCGAGTGGTTAAAGGGTTGTACTGCTGGAAGCCAATGAGCTTGGATAAATGAAATTGTAAATTATATAATATAAATAGCTTTCTCCTGTGTAGGATACGCTTAATTACTATATCTCATATATATTAATTGGATTTGGATTGGATTGGATTTATTCGGTGTAAACACCAAGGATAGCCCATGAAAGTCTAGAAGAAGACTTATTTCCAGTGGGGTCCTTCTGGTGGTGATTGGGCAGTACACCGGGGGACAATCCCCTACTCTTTTCCAAAGAGTGTACTGCGTTCTTTAACATGCACATTGGCCATAATGCACACGGGACCAACGGCTTAAACGTCTCATCCAAAAGACGGTGCGCTATTGTAACTTGTATTTCAGCCCTCTAGCTGAAACACAAGGAGAGGCAGCAATGGGAATTAAACCAGGGACCTAGAGATCTCCATGGTTTAGCACACACACAGTTTGCTACCACCAGATTATTGGTTAATAATAACATTTTATTCGTCAAATCTATCTGTGATTTTTACAACTTCCTGCGACTACCACACCCCTGCCTAAGCATAAACTGTAAGACAGATTGAAATGGCTTATATCAAAGAGTATAGAACTCCAACAGATCGGACTGTCCTCATTTTGTATGCACGCAATGGAACGTTAAAAAGAAGTACTACCGCGAGATAGGGGCGCCCTATTAGAGTTCGAAACTTGAACATGCACATAGCAAACGTTCGATACGTACATCTTTTAAGGACATGCCCCTTCGTGGCAGTACTTTTTAAAATAGGATTACGTTCCAACGAAACCACGAGAGTCGGACCTCTTGCAGTTCAACACTCTTTGCTTATACTGATGGACGCTTTGCTGTTTATTTTTATGAGATAGTTAAACAAATACAAAATGGATGTATTTCGGTAAAGCAGTGAATTCTACTTCCCTCGTTGTTGCATGATTAGGAATAATAATAATAATAATAATAATAATAATAATAATAAGCTTTATTTAAAACACAGAAAACTTGGTTCAACTATTCAGTTATTATTCTGCAAGGCCGTGTATACAACAATTAAACCAGAAAATCAAAAGAAAAAAAAAATGACTTAAAATAAACAAATCAAACAATTGTTTAAACGCACAAATATCTAAACTAGACTTAAATCTTAAACTAACTTACTATCACTAAACAAACTCGAACAAAACAAAAATATTGTAGTTTATGTAAGAAACTACTATAAAGGTGTTAACAGTAATTATATTACAATTCTAAAAGTATATAACAGCAATTATATACTTTTTAAATAAGGACAATTTCTTAACATTAAAAAATTTTTTTTTTTTCTACTTTGCGTGAGGAGGTAGTCACAATCATCCAACACCGCGAGAAGTAGTACTTCGCCTCCAACCATGTTGTATTTGTATACTACAGGATGGTAAAATAAGTATAAATGCAATCATCCACCTATTACAAATGAATGGTGCATTTTAACTAGTACCTTTTTCGGACTGGGTGTATTTGCTGGCTCTTCGTCCAAGTGACGTTTTTTTGGAGTCTTTTTTGGTGTTATATCCATCTTCTTTGGAGTTGCTTTTTCCTGTTTCACTGGAGTTCCCTTCTTTGGAGTTTTCTCATTATTTTCCCCACCCTGGGCTGTAGGTTTTGAAATGGGAGTGGATCGACCGGAGCTGCTTGCCCCCTCATCTGAGTTGTCTTTCCCACGCTTCATCCTTGACTTTAACCTCCCTCCCTCGTCTTTCTTACCTTTCACCAGGCTTGGGATGTCAGAAGTGTCTTTGGATGTTTTATACAATTCCTTGTGTAATAAAAAAAAATACAATTCTCATCAAAAGAGGGCCATTATTAAAATTAATATAGTTTCACATGATACAATTCTCATCAATAGAGGGGCATTTTAAAACTAATAGTTTCACATGATACAATTCTCATCAATAGAGGGCCATTTTAAAACTAATAATTTCACATATACAATTCACATCAGTAGAGGGCCATTTTAAAAGTAATATAGTTTCACATCTATTTAATCTTGGCCACAAAAATAGTCATGTTTAAGTTTTACTTGTTATATATTATTATTTTGTTTCTTGTTGTTTGTTTTGTTGTATGTATGTTTTTTGACCACTTTGATAAATGACATAATAAGTATATAAGTTTCAGTGCATTACGTTAAGAACACTGCTTTCTTATTCCTGATGATGACATAATTAATGTCGAAATATTGACTCCCGACATGATGGCGTGCATTTTTATACTTGGAGTATGCATTATATTATCTTATTGCTTTCTTAGGCAAGACTTTTTTTTATACCTTGCTTTGCAGATTGTCAGAGGAAGGTGGAAAACAAAATAAAAATAAAATTTAGTCTTCTTATTTAACAAATGTTTTTGCCAAAAATCCGAGACGGAGGAGAAAATAAAAATATCATTTTATTGTTGAATGTAAACAGTGTATTTATGGGATTGTAAAATGCTTTAAATTTATAAACTAGGAAGAAATACACATATCTTATTTTTGGAGATTTTAAGGCAGCGACGGGCGTAATAAAATGAATAAATTTTTTTCCCCCTGAAATTTCCACTTTTTCAAGGTGCCAGGTGCGCAAATTAAATATTTTTATTCCAAATAATCAATATTGGCAGGCGGTGGGTTTGCGAAACAAGGTATAAAGAAAGTCTCAAATTTTTAACAGTTATTGCAGTGTTAAGATTTTACCTTGTGTTGCACATATGCTGAGCTGACTTGTTGCAATATTAGTACATAAATAACTGGCAAGAAATCTGTTGCCTTGCGCAAGGACAAAACCACAGTGATGAGCAAGGCCACACTTACTTAAGTATGACCGACATTTATACTCACCCGTAGTTGAGCGAGACTAGTGGCTGACCGCCAGTCCTTATCATCCCTCATCCGGGCGACACGCGGAAAACGAATTGAGATTCCCCCTCCTGTATGTGTTTCTGACTGCGAGAACTCAGCTCCAATGATTTCCCACACAGGGGAGGCCTGTCAAGAGAAAGTTTGGAACTTGGGGGTAAAGTGAACGAATGAAGCAAAACTGTAAACGTTAACAGATGCAAAGAGGTCAGGGAAAGGGGTAAGAAAGGGTCAACTACTAGTAAATTAATAAAACTAGTCAAGTACATTAACTTATAGTTAAACTTGTCTAAATCGACTTTGCCTAAATCAGTAATTTCTAAGTCAATCCTATTTTGCCAAATTGTTGTGTTTTCCATTAATTAATGATCTGTAAGTCGAATTAAATCTAGGTCGAACAATTGTTCAATGCCATTTTGGATTCGACTCGGCAAGTTCAACTGTATTCATCTTATATAAATCGGTTTTTTTAAAAGGTATTATTATTTATGTTAGTTTTTATTATTTATTTTCTCTTTAATTCTCTTGATTAATTTTTATTTCAATTATTTTTCTGTGTGCCAATTATAGTTTTTTCATTTTGTTGATTACCATTTTTAATGTTTTCCTTAAATCATTTATTTTTTAAATATTTTATGATTCTTTTCATTTTTCTGTTTTAATATCATTAATTTGTTTATGTTAAAGATCTAGTTTAATTTTTATTCTTTTGTCTTTTATTGTATGTACTGAGGGTCCCAACTGATCAGATCTGGTGGGATGGACCACCCTCACAAAATATTGTTTAAATAAATATAAAAATAAAACTAATATTATTCAAAATTTGGATTCAGATCTGGTTACTTTCTGCACATCACAGCTTGTTTAGCTCATTTGTGATTGGTCAACCTCACTTGACATCACAAAACCTCCCACATTAAGACTAGGCAGAAGCTTGTGAAAAAATTAAATATTTCTCCTTCTCAATAGAAAACCATCCCACACATTTGGTCAACTCCCTTCCCAAGCAAACCAAAGCTGCTAAGTAATAAATGACTTCACATACCTTTGGATCCTTGATTACAAAATCTGGGACGAGATTTTTGTGAACTCGTAACCACGAAGGGACTTTCGACATATCTTTACTGATTTTCTTCATTGGCAATTCTGCGTTTAGTTTCTCTAACATCTTGTCGTCAATTCCGCCACATTTGGTGACAGTGAGGAACCGATCCGCATGCTGGTCATAGACACCGAGCAAGAAAACGGACATAATTCCACCTGTGAATATAAAAATAAATTATATATTGTTTATTGTGATGTAAATCATTTAAAAATTAAAAATATATTTGTTTAGAACATGTTAAAAATGTACTGAGCCTTTTAATGTACTTTTAGCCTTTTCGCCCGCCATATTCACGAGGGCTCAATTTAACTTCCTTTGGTTTACTGTATATTTCAATAGCCCATTGGCTATTTTACTAGTACTAATAAATTAGTAAATAATATAGTTTATAATTGATCACTGGCCCACCGGGCTAGTAATAAAGTACGTCTACAAGCCCAGAGGAGCTTTTACTAGACATTGTACGATGGACTAGTGCTAAGTCGAACCCTGTTCAGGCCCATTGTTTTCTTGAGTGCTGCTTGAAAATGTGGGGCGATGCCATTATTTTTTATATGCGTGAGTGTGAAAAAATTGAATTTCTGTGATCTTGACCTTTGAAATTTCCTTCCGAAAATTTGAAAGGTGCCATTTTTTGATTATTATGTACCATTCCACTAAATTTTATGATGATTCATTTATTATTTTTGGCATAAACTTGCTAACAGACAGAGAGCAGTGAATGCATAACCTCATTGGAGGAGGAAATATATAAAAGACAACAATGGGATATAGGAACTTGGGCTATGGCTAATTGCTATACAGAACCTGGCTCTTAAAATCATCTGAACACACATAAACCTAAGTCCACACTATCAAGTTTGCTTTGACAAAAAAGTGTTGTATGCTCATACAAAGTCATGATGTGACTATATATGGTCATGACGTGATGTCATCATGACCATATTAAGGCACATCACATTTTTTTGTCAAATCAGATTTGATAGTCTAGATGGGCTTAAAAGGAAAAATGATTTAAAGCCAGTTAGTAGGATACCTAGCATAGACATGCCAACAATTCCCTACACTACCAAGGTTTCTACAGATTACCTTTATTTCCTGTTCCATAATAGCCACCGAGGAGAATGAGATCAGCAGAATCTGCCATAGCACCCTCATTGAGGTAATCTTTCTTAACCTTTAACCAATGCCGCATCCCTGGCTCGTACTTACTCTAGAATGAGAAGGAAGTATTTAAACCAATCCACATTTACCAATGAGAATGGGGACCAATCAGAAAATTAATTAAATTCAGGATGTTTACATTGTGCACTTTAAAGAACCCACTGCATCTTTTGAAAGAGTAGGGGGTGGGGTTACCCCGATGCTGTCGCTGTGGAATAATGTGAACATGCAGCTACTATAAGCGCCTCTTTATGACGACTAGGTAGTCACGGACCACGTCCTTATGCAATTCAGCACAATGATGCTACAAGTTTAAGTTTACCGTTACTTTGCCTTTTTAGAATGAAATGCTATACTGTTTGCTGCCACCTATAGTTTAATTTTTATTGATATTCCCAGAATAAATTTCTGGAATTAATTGTTGATACCGATAGAACAATCATTTGAAACCTCTGAATAAATTTTCTAATTAAATCAAACATTTGTCCAATCCTGCTATATAATGTTAAAAGCTGCTTCCAATGTAATTCCTTACACCTCATTTCCATATATTGTTATAGGCATACTGTACGTTAATTTTACTATTGTAATTACACATGTGAATATGACTATGACTTCGAATAATCCTTTCATAATCAATCACACATTTTCTGCAATTTTATATCATGTTATTTATTTTTATAATTTCACTTTGGAAGTAATAGTGATTAAGTTTTAGAAACCAGTTTACTCGCTTGCCTCTTACATTTTTGGCATTTGTTATAAAATGACAGGAATAAATGTCGTGTCACTTGTATTTTTACCTGCGAATCCTTTAACACAAGTCCTTCTAATCCTTCTTGGAACACTTCAGTTAACAGTCCTGCAAGTTGTTCATGTTTCTAAGGAGGAAAATAAGTGTTACCAATATATTAGTCCCTACACAACATAACAGACTCCCCAACACTTCCTAAGAATTGAGTATGTTTAGCAGGTTTTTGTTTATATTTTATATTGTTTAATTAGGATATGCAACACAAAGAAGTAAAGGAAGACCTTATAGGTTGGGCCTAGCAAAGGAACAATCATGAAAGAGAGGTATTATCACTAACTCCTGAAAATTGAAACTAAAATTCTACACTACATGATGGCTAGTATTTAACAGTTCTGTAAATGTAGTTATTGCAAGTATGAAGTTATTGAAATTTATCATCAAATATTAGCTAGGCCCAGCAATGAAAATAACCAGGTTTTCCTTGCGAAAGCCTATGCAACACTCTGTGAGGCCAAGGCAAGACCAATCTAGAATGGCAAGGCCAGTGGGGCTCAATATCTTTTTATATTTTTCATTGCCTGAGGTCACCACTATTAAATTCTAAACAATTTCAATTTCAAGGGGCGAGCTGATACCCAAGGACCTTTGGTGATCCCTTAAGCATATCACACATAAAAGTGAATTTAGCTGAGCTACCAGCCTCGCATTCTAAGCATCTCAGTAGAACCTGCTGAGGATAATAATGGATTATGCTGACCTTTTAATATGCAAGGCAGTGGTGGCTCCAGAAATTTGCCGACAGGGGGTCTGAAATAAGGGATTGACTAGAGCCTCGGTTAGTGTCCCAGATTAAAACTCTCTGGCAGTGTTCATGGGAAGAGTGTTATTGCTCAGCATTTGCTTTTAGATTACATTATAAGATTGGCAATCAAAATAACATTATTTGGTATTAAAAGGAAAATTATTATTTCTGGTCTAATGACAACCAAAAGATGGGGGGGGGGGGGGGGTCAATGCCTTCCATATCTTCCAGTGGCATCACCACTGGTGCAAGCCTGGTGGTGGCTTTTGTGCTATTAATCCCTGTTTGCATATTAAGAGAGAAGTCCTATACCGTCAGTTCATGCATCTCTGAGAACATAATCCTTCCGCGAATCGGTGTGAGATTCTTCTCTAGAATCTTTCTTCTTTCCTGTAAAGGTCTACAAGAAATTATTTTAAAAAAAAATTAATTGAATATCACATGACTATGTAAGATAGTCAGTATTAAACTTTTTCTTTTCCAATTATATCATAAAACATTAACTGAAAGTGATTGATAAATATAACCCTTAAAAACATTGTTCAAACAAATTTCAATTTAACTGTTTTTTTTTTTCTAGTTAAAAGTGATTATATATAAATAAGTGGCTTACTTATCCATGAGACTTTGGCCGTTGAAGTAAAGGCAGTCAAAGATGAACAAACAGACTGTGGCATCTGCGAAAGCACTTTTCTTGTGAACTCCAAGAGTCCCGAAAGGAAGGATGTTGCCATGGTTATCAACAAGAAGAATCTGTACACGAACATTTTTAGATTTAAAAAAAAAAAAAAAGTTATATCAAGCTGTCCAAACTATCAAGTTTTGTTTGACAAAAACATGTGACATGCCTAAATATGGTCATGATGACATCACATCATGACCATATATAGGCACATCATGACTATATATGGGCATACAACAGTTATGATGACATCACATCATGACCATATATAGGCACATCATGAATATATATGGCATACAACAGTTATGATGACATCACATCATGACTATATATGGAAATACAACAGTTATGATGACATCACATCATGACCATATATAGGCACATCATGACTATATATGGGCATACAACAGTTATGATGACATCACATCATGACCATATATAGGCATATCATGAATATATATGGGCATACAACAGTTATGATGACATCACATCATGACCATATATAGGCACATCATGACTATATATGGGCTAACAACAGTTATGATGACATCACATCATGACCATATATTCTTCAGTTATGATGACACCACATCATGACCATATATATGCACATCATGACTATATATGGGCATACAACAGTTATGATGACATCACATCATGACCATATATAGGCACATCATGAATATATATGGGCATACAACAGTTATGATGACATCACATCATGACCATATATAGGCACATCATGACTATATATGGGCATATATCAGTTGTTTTGTCAAAGAAAATGTTATAGTGTGGACAGAGCTAAATATGATTTCTTCATTGCTATATTAGGAATTCACAAGTTGTCTAATATCTATTAAAATGTGTAATATAGTGGAATTATTATACAGTTAACACCCACTAATAAAACCTAGTAGATTAAGAAAATACATTATTGAATAAATTCACTGGATCCAACAATAAATATGTATTAGAGGTTCTTTTTTGATGATCCAAAGTCAAGTGTAAAATTGAAATTTATTATTTTATTATTATTTTATTTTATTTAGACACGATAGCATTGCAACACAAAGGTTATTTTACAAATGGTCGTGTATAAATGTTACTCACTATTTATTCCTTGATGTTTCGCCTGCTATCTGCAAGGCTTAGTTATAAGTGCCTATATGGCAGTGGTGTTGTCACATAGGAGAAATCAATAGTAACTTCAAAATTTTACACTTGACTTTTGATCGTCAAAAAAGAACCTCTAATACATATTAAGAATATACACATTGTAATTAGGAAATTAGACCTGGCATTTCAAATATGTTCTTACCCCTGTCCACACTTTATGTCCAAGAATATTATGTTCATAACCCCGTCTACATGGCATTGTTGGTGATGCTATCTCAAAATTTGGGAGTGCACCTTCCTCCCCTTCGCGTTCGCACCTGTTCATAAATTTTAGATTCTTGGTGACTGAAGAGTGCCTTGAGACAGTTTTTACTTACTGTGGAAGGTGCTATAAAAATACATAACCATTGACCACCACTGACTATCAAATTTAAAGTGACAATGAGATGTGCATGACAATGAGATGTGCATATTGTACGCAAATATGGGCATACCAGATAATTGTCACATAAAATCTGATATGTAGATAAAACTTTTAGGAATACATGTTATCCAGACAAAATGGCTCCAGCACCAAAATGTTGGCTGTCTGGACGCAGCACAAGAATACATTTATTATCCAAAAATAAAATGTCTACGGAGTGCCCCCAACCACATTTTGCGCACATTTTCCAGCCCTGATGGGAGCAACATTTTCAGATTTACTCCATATACTCTACGCATTCAAAGCATAGCTTCCCTGTGATGTAATTTTCCCACAAGATATGTACTACTGACATTGCCAAAAAAAGAGCTTCACAAAATAGAAGATGCTACCTAGATGTGTAAGCTCTCAAATTCTAGCGTATTCTGCCCCTTACCTTTAGTACAGTAGATAGTAGAAAGGCTTATCTACTACATAGCAAAATCAAATAACTTACCTCACTGTCTAAGATAATGCTATCTCCGTGAGGACAAGCAAGTGGAAGGTAGTCTTTGATATGCGCCACCTTGTGAGGGAGTACCTGTTTGAGACTCCGACTAAAGTATTGAAATGTGTCGCCACTTTTGTGTACCTGAACCCGCTCGCCGTCGTATTTAATTTCTGCGTAGATTCCATTTGGGCATTTTCGAAATGCTTGCTCAACAGAGCGGCATGCCTCGGCCTGATGAAGTGGAAATTATATGTATAGTTTATTTAAAAGTTTATTTCAATAGTTCCCATCTTGGGGTCTAAGAAAACTAATTGGGGTCTACCAAGTCAAAATGGTCTGCAAAAAATGTTGGAGTCTGCTAGCCATTGAGACTAATTTTTCATGATTCCATTATTTTTCTCATCTTACAACAGTGAGATACAGTAAACATCTTACTGAAAATTATTAGGAGACTTGATCAATAATGGAATAGTTTTGACATACTTTTTTGGCACTTTCGAAATGCTTGCTCATCAGAGCAGCAGGCCTCAGTCTGAGGAAGTAGAAATTATACATATTTAAACACATCCCGAGGGGTTTGCAAATGCAAAAATGTTGGGAACTACTGATTATTAGTATATGTCCTGTCTATTAGACGAGACTTTATTTATTCCTTGTTTCATGTACTTATTGGAGGAGGGCGGAATAAAAAAAAAAAATACTTATTTAGCAAGTAGTTTTGCAAAAATCATCCAGACGGAGGAGAAAATAAAAATAAAATTTTATTGGTAAATGTAAAATAGGATGGTTAAATGCTTCAAATTTATGTAATTAGGAAGAAATATACATATCTTATCTTTGAATATTTCAAGGCAGTGGACGGCATAATAAAAATGAAGAAAAACTTTTATTTTTACTGAAATTCCCACTTTTTCGTGGTGGCGGGTGCGTTAATTGGCCAAAAATAAATTTTATTTTTATTCGAAATCATTAATATTTGCAGTCGGCTGGTTCGCTAAACAAGATATAAAGAAGTCTTGCCTTAGTATGAAGAGTTGTTAGTACTGTATATGTAGCTACCAAATTACTAAGGTGCATTTTTTACAATAGTATATACTTAAGTGAGACTAAGGTCGAACATTTTAAATTGATATAACATTTATCAAGTTTATGCCTATATACAACAATCAAATTGAACTATCTATGCTCTGATTGGCTGTGAAGCAGATTTTAGCCTAATTTATTAGTTTATTATTTTGAAAACCCAAAAAGATGCTCCAAGATACAGACATTTTATTTTGTATGATATTCTCTCAAAAACATTCAACAACCTACCAGCATGGGTAAGACTGGCGTCATAAGACTAGCTTGGATGGTCAGTTTCTTGGTCATTCCAGGTACTCCATTGGATGCTTTTTTATTCTGTTGAACCCTTTCCACGAGATCCTTCAAATTACGTGATGCCTTGAATGCCTCATGGGCATTTGGGGCCAGGCCATCAAGGCTGGGAAAGAAAGAGAGCTTGATAATATGTTAACTGATCTAGTATTTTGGGCTTTCAAGAATCAGTATAACTTCATGCCTGATATAGCCCAAACTCCATTCTGTTGACTAAAATCTTTAGCATGGACAATAAACATCACTCTCCACCTTGGAGTTAAAATTGGTACCTTGCAACAGTGAATGATCTAGAAAGTTGTCAGACCAGTGATACTAGAGGGGCTAAGGGGCAAAGAATTGGTAGAGTTCAGGAGGTTGTTAAAGTACATTGGCATCTAGAGACACTGGGAAGGTTTGGGCTGATCAAAGTTGGCTCAAACAATTTTTTTTTAATGGAAAATTGTCTTTCCTTTAGGTTTGGCAAGTCATAAGAAACAGGTAGATAGGTCTGTCCAGCAAGAAGCTCATGCCACCGTTCCCGCCAACCCCACTGGCACTGCCACTGACTGACAGGACAAGAAGTTTCTATGTTGAATGTACATACTTATTTGTTCTCCATTGAATGTCCATGCAAGGCTAGGAATACTCCAAGAATGACTAGGAATACTCCCAGGAAAGACAAAGAAAGAGGTTTTAAAAGACCTGGTTTTACTGAAGCCACATGTGTCCTTTATTCCACGACAAACCATTTATGTAAGATAGGAGGTTACAGTGAATTCACCCCTTTTGCGTGGGTAAATCTGTCTGTTAGCATGATTACACAAAAACTAAGGAATGGATCATCATAAAATTTAGTGGATTGGTACATAATAATCTAAGAAATAGATGATTAGCTTTTAGGAAGAAAAGGTTAAAGGACAAGGTCACAGAAATTCAATTTTTAACCCCGAGCATAAAAGAAAATAATGAAATCTCTCATCATATACTTCCTGGAAAAATCTCATCAAATGGGATCTAGACAGACTTGGGTATAGGTAGAGGTTGGAGCCCAGGACCGAAGGATGTAGAAATTTCTCGCAAGTCAGGTATTAAGTGCAGAAATGCATGGTTTGGTATTCAGTTGCAAGGCGGAAAATAACAGATTCGTTCATCATGGCCTGCACATTGTTCAGTATTCATTGTATATTTTTATGTATGTAAGAGCAATGAAGTTTTTTGTGTCACTTACATGTGCTTTGCTCCAGCGTTAATGCGAATGTCATGCATGACTAAGCGTATGAACATTTTGAGATCGTTGGCAGTACAGCGGTTTGTCATTTTTGTGAGCTCCCTCTGCTGATCCAACTCACGAGTCAGTTTTGACATTTCATCAAGTGTTTCATCAACATCTTGCAACGTCAGTAGACTCTTGGTTGCTGGAGTGACACATGGGCTCTGCACGAAAAATTTGCGAACTGTCTCTGATGGATCGCCCAGGTCGAGATCTTCCACCATTTCTTCAAGATTTGTTCCTAAAATCTGAATGATTCAAATTTGCAATATTTTGAAATTTAATTGAAAAAATCTGTCCAAGATATCAAAACTGTTTGATACTCATATACAGCCATGATGCACCTATATATGGTCATGATGTGATGTCATTATGACCATATTTAGGCATGTCACATGTTTTTGTCAATTAAAATTTGTTAGTCTGGACAGGACTTTAGAGACTATTTGCAGATAAACATTTTTTAAGATTTTGAAAAACTATTCTTGAATAATAAGTCAAAGAATTTTACATATGTGTGAACTTATTCATATTTTTTTTATTGCATCAGCTGATTTTCTCGTACCATAGAAAATTAAAAGCTCAGAATTTTTGTATTATGATGTGGGTGGAATGTACTAACTTTATCATTATAATACCTGACTAAAGAGCTTAGCTATCTGTTTACTGTTGATATGGTACACCCGCTTGACCACGCCTGGCAACAGCAGCTTCAACAGAATATACGTATTGCCCTGAAAGCCATCTGCAAAGAGGTGTCAACAACACTTATTTAGAGTTATTACAATAACTAACAATCAATAATGATGATAAATATAATAACAACAATAATAATTAGAAATGCCCCTTTTACGCTGCACAATAAAAGCATAGCCTCCTCACTGTGTGACTTTTCTCTGAGAATTGATAAGTTGGAGTTTAAAAAAAATCAGACTTACCCAAACTTAAATTATCGTGGTAACAAATAACTTACTACAGTGACAGCAACCACTACATACAATTTCACCTAAATCAGAATTTTTGGGGGAATTATGATAGTAAATTTACGCTAAATACTAATATTAATTAAACTGTTATTACCATCTTGCATTCTGCCAAGCTTGAAACCAATAGGACTTACCAAACTTTAGTTATCGTTCTAGCCTAAATTACCTGATTAGTAGCATATTCACAGATGTACAGAAACCAATAGGCTGCCTCTTCTTATTACCATCTTGCATTGTGCAAATTTGAAACCAATGAGACTTACCAAAATTTAGTTATCGTGGTAACTACTGTAGCCAAAATTACCTGATTAGTGAAATATTAATTTTGCAAATGAGCAATTAGCATATTAACACACATACTAAAAACAGAAGGCTCTGTCTTTTACCATCTCGCATTTACTACAGTGACGGCGACCACTACATACAATTTCACCTAAATCAGAATTTTTGGGGAAATTATGATAGTAAATTTATGCTAAATACTAATATTATTTATACTGTTATTACCATCTTGCATTCTGCCAAGCTTGAAACCAATAGGACTTACCGAACTTTAGTTATCGTTCTAGCCTAAATTACCTGATTAGTAGCATATTCACACATGTACAAAGACCAATAGGCTGGGTCTTCTTATTACCATCTCGCATTGTGCAAATTTGAAACCAATGAGACTTACCAAAATTTAGTTATCGTGGTAACTACTGTAGCCAAAATTACTTGATCAGTGAAATATTAATTTTATAAATGAGCAATTAGCATAATTACCAAACATACTAAAAACAGAAGGCTCTGTCTTTTACCATCTTGCATTTACTACAGTGACGGCGACCACTACATACAATTTCAACTTAATCAGAATTTTTGGGGGAATTATTATAGTAAATTTACGCTAAATACTAATATTAATTATACTGTTGTTATTACCATCTTGCATTCTGCCAAGCCTGAAACCAATAGGACTTACCAAACTATAGTTATCGTTCTAGCCTAAATTACCTGATTAGTAGCATATTCACACATGTACAGAAACCAATAGGCTGCCTCTTTTTATTACCATCTTGCATTGTGCAAATTTGAAACCAATAGGACTTACCAAAATTTAGTTATCGTGGTAACTACTGCAGCCAAAATTACTTGATTAGTGAAATATTAATTTTGCAAATGACAATTAGCATATTAACACACGTACTAAAAACAGAAGGCTCTGTCTTTTACCACCTTGCATTTACTACAGTGACGGCGACCACTACATACAATTTCACCTTAATCAGAATTTTTGGGGGACTTATGATAGTAAATTTACGCTAAATACTAATATTAATTATACTGTTATTACCATCTTGCATTCTGCCAAGCTTGAAACTAATAGGACTTACCAAACTTTAGTTATCGTTGTAGCCTAAATTACCTGATTAGTAGCATATTCACACATGTACAGAAACCAATAGGCTGCCTCTTCTTATTACCATCTTGCATTGTGCAAATTTGAAACCAATGAGACTTACCAAAATTTAGTTATCGTGGTAACTACCTGTCTCTTATACACATCTAGATGTGTATAAGAGACAGTATTTGTTCTCCATTGAATGTCCATGCAAGGCTAGGAATACTCCAAGAATGACTAGGAATACTCCCAGGAAAGACAAAGAAAGAGGTTTTAAAAGACCTGGTTTTACTGAAGCCACATGTGTCCTTTATTCCACGACAAACCATTTATGTAAGATAGGAGGTTACAGTGAATTCACCCCTTTTGCGTGGGTAAATCTGTCTGTTAGCATGATTACACAAAAACTAAGGAATGGATCATCATAAATCTTGCATTTACTACAGTGACGGCGACCACTACATACAATTTCACCTTAATCAGAATATTTGGGGGAATTATGATAGTATATTTACGCTAAATACTAATATTAATTATACTGTTATTACCATCTTGCATTCTGCCAAGCTTGAAACCAATAGGACTTACCAAACTTTAGTTATCGTTCTAGCCTAAATTACCTGATTAGTTAGCATATCCACACATGTACAAAAACCAATAGGCTGCGTCTTCTTATTACCATCTTGCATTATGCAAATTTGAAACCAATGAGACTTACCAAAATTTAGTTGTCGTGGTAACTAGACAAAATTACTTGATCAGTGAAATATTAATTTTACAAATGAGCAATTAGCATAATTAACACACATACTAAAAGCAGAAGGCTCTGTCTTTTACCATTTTGCATTTACTACAGTGATGGCGACCACTACATACAATTTCACCTTAATCAGAATTTTTGGGGGAATTATGATAGTAAATTTACGCTAAATACTAATATTAATTATACTGTTATTACCATCTTGCATTCTGCCAAGCTTGAAACCAATAGGACTTACCAAACTTTAGTTATCGTTCTAGCCTAAATTACCTGATTAGTTAGCATATCCACACATGTACAAAAACCAATAGGCTGCGTCTTCTTATTACCATCTTGCATTATGCAAATTTGAAACCAATGAGACTTACCAAAATTTAGTTGTCGTGGTAACTAGATAAAATTACTTGATCAGTGAAATATTAATTTTACAAATGAGCAATTAGCATAATTAACACACATACTAAAAGCAGAAGGCTCTGTCTTTTACCATTTTGCATTTACTACAGTGATGGCGACCACTACATACAATTTCACCTTAATCAGAATTTTTGGGGGAATTATGATAGTATATTTACGCTAAATACTAATATTAATTATACTGTTATTACCATCTTGCATTCTGCCAATCTTGAAACCAATAGGACTTACCGAACTTTAGTTATCGTTCTAGCCTAAATTACCTGATTAGTTAGCATATCCACACATGTACAAAAACCAATAGGCTGCGTCTTCTTATTACCATCTTGCATTATGTAAATTTGAAACCAATGAGACTTACCAAAATTTAATTGTCGTGGTAACTAGCCAAAATTACTTGATTAGTGAAATATTAATTTTGCAAATGAGCAATTAGCATAATTAACACACATACTATAAACAGAAGGCTCTGTCTTGTTATTACCATCTTGCATTCTGCCAAGTTTGAAACAAATTGGACTTACCAAAATTTAGTTATCGTGGTAACTAGCCTAAATTACTTGATTAGTGAAATATTAATTTTGCAAATGAGCAATTAGCATATTAACACACATACCAAAAACAGAAGGCTCTGTCTTCTTATTACCATCTTGCATTCTGCCAAATTTGAAACCAATGAGACTTACCAAAATTTAGTTAAAGTGGTAGCCTAAATTACTTGATTAGTGAAATATTATTTTTGCAAATGAGCAATTAGCATATTAATACACGTACCAAATACAATAGGCTCCGCTTTCTATTACTATTTTGCATTCTGCCAAGTTTAACCTGATTGGACTTACCAAACTTTTAAATTATCATGGTAACAATCAAATGACAAATGGTCGTTACCATGATAAATAATGTTTGGTAAGTCCAAACTTTAGTTATCATGGTAACAATCAAATGACCAATGACGGCAACAACAACGACAAGTTGAAGAAGTACATAGGTAAAAACAATAGCATCCCTGGAGGTTAGCTCCTTTGGGGAGGCTACTGAAATAATATAAACAAAGTTATGAGAAAGAGTAATGTTACACAGTTTTAGGAAGCAAGAATTTAAGGAAAATTTAAATGAAGGCTTATGGTGGTGCCGAGTGGTTGGCCGAGAACTATAATTGGAGTCTGATCGCTGAGCTCCACGAAATACCCTCTTATTGAGAGTTAAGCGAGATAAGGAGTACGTTTGTATCCGTATGTATACGTTAAATGTCAGGTAGTGCTGCAATGCGGCTGATGAAGGTCCCAGCCCAAATTTCCGATTTCATGTTGAATGAGGACAAATTCAGGAGTTTGTTTCATTCTAATCTTTTTGAAATGTTTTAATACGCACTCAAAAATACAGAAGATTATACTCCTATAATTTGTAATAAGTGCTGCTCTAGAATAAACGTTGCACTGAAGTGGAGCTTACTGTATTGGTAATTGACAGTACGTTAACTGAAATCCATTTCTACAGAATATTAAAAAAACTCCACTATTTTCTAATAATACATTTTAACAACACATACCTCCAGTTGAACCATTCTTCAGATAATTGGAGACAAGTTTAGTTTTTCCGAGATAACTTGACTCATCAGCAATTTTGGCACACAACTTGCGGTATTCTCGAAATGAGTTATCTGGGTGGTTCTTACCTCCGGAGCCGTAGAGATTAGATGATCCGGAACCAGAACCACTTGGTGATGAAGGAGGAGCACCAACAGATGATGATGGACCACCTCCACCTGAGGAGTGGGCATGACAAGAAATCTTAAATCTCTATCAAAATGTTAAAAGTTTTATCCAACAAAATAATCCTAAGGTCGTCGTACATTCTTGGCTAGGCCTACTCTAGGCTAGCAATTGGTATAAAAAATGCTCAGTGAAGCAATTAAAAAAAATTATTAATCACAATATCAGTCTTACACGTATCTCAGTACATAGGAATATTGGAATGGCGAGGAGACCAACGTAGAGGCTGAAGGGAAGGGAGAACTAAAAGAAATTGAGGGGGGAGTTGTGGGATAGAGTTGATACAGTATTATAAGGGAATTCTTAAACATTGTACTTCAATATTTTTTCTTGGCTCTGTAAGGTTTAAACAGTAGGTGGGAGAGGGAAACAAACTTTACTTTCTGGGCAATCCCCCATCGCACTGACTGTCTCCTGATGTACTGCCCAATTCACCACCAGAAGGACCCCACAGGAAACAAGTCTTAGGATTTTAGTGGGTTATCTAATCCATACTCCAGAATGAATAGTATCAAAATTACTGTCAACTTCTTTTTTTGGGCATGCAGTACTGAAACTGATAAAATTATTTTACTGCAAGTTATTGGAAGTCCATACCTGTGCCCTTGACGACTGGGTTCTTAGTCGGTGAAACTACTTTCATATCAGATGTCAACTTCGATTGAACAACCTTTTTCTTACCAGGCGATTTTGCACTAAGTTTCACACACAATTCTATAGAGGATAAATAGACAAAGAATAAATTTTTTTTATCTAAGAATTTATAAAGTTATTGTTATCATTACCATCAATATTTCATTAGTCAATAATGTCTCTGTAGTTGATAACGGAGGGGTTTAGATTAGATGACCGCAACATGATTGTAGTGAGAGATTAATTTGTGCTTGACAACTTCTGTATTATAATAGTCATGATGATGATGTCAACATGACCAAATTTGGATATATGAAATGTTTTTGTCAAGTAAAATATGGTCTTGACAGGACTTAAACTCATCTTCAACTACCCAACCACCATTGGTTTTTCATTTATTATTCTTCTCCACTCATAAAACATAATAAAAACAATTTACAACACAATTGCTAAGGATGGATGGAGATCACAGTAAGTTCTTTGAACTTTAAGTCGTGACCCCCAATTCAGTGTAAATTACTGTAACACCATCTTCTCTATTATCCTCAATACAATCAATCCACAAACATCATCATTATTAATAATTCTAAACAGCTAATTCAGTTGGCTAAGCTGGTGGTAGCCACTGTGCGTGCGATGAACCACCAAGATGCCTTGGGGCCCAGTTATAAAAAAATCCAATCCAATCTCCCTAAAAATGAAAGTCAACACAATAACAATTTTATAAAATCACTACAGTACTAAAAGCTCAGTCCAGACTAAAATCTTATGTGACAAAAGCATGTGAAACGCCTAAATATGGTCATGATGACATCACATCATGACCATATATAGGCACATCATGACCATATATAGGCACATCATGACCATATATGTGAGGTCTCACCACGAAATGAGACGCAAGTCATATTGAGATATTCACCAAAACAGGCCAAAGTCAACATTTTTACAAAATTTTGATTTTAATGTTTTGAATAACTTGATACTTTATGATTGTATGCTTTGTGAGTGAATTTTCTTGCCAAAACAGTGTTCTCTGCACATATTCTGTAATTCTAGTAATATTATTTGTACAGGTTAGTTTATCTTTGAGGCTGATTTTCTCAAAACGTGGTCTTATACACCTAAACTTTAAATGCTCACATCTCTGGATTTACTTATAGTAGGGAAGCCATTCAAAGACCAAATGAAAGCTTATACTGTGACCTACCCAAATATAATATAAATTCAATTTTTGAATTTCTAACCATGAGACTCATTTTGTGGCGAGACCTCACATATAGGCACATCATGACTACTATATGGGCATATAACAGTTTTTTTGTCAAAAAATTTTGATACATATCAATTTGTTTGGGCTGTTTTGACCACGTAAGAAAACATTTTAATACTGCGCGCATGTAAAAAAGGCAAAAATGAACAGATTGGGCGCGCTGCACAACGCATTGTTTAGACGATTTCATTATCAAAAAAGGGTATATACTGTAAAAGTGCACTTTTTGTAACGATCAATCATTAGTGAACATTATCAAAAATACATTCCCAATCTATGCATATTACACTGTAGAAATAAGGTATGTCCGCTATAAAGCATATTAGTTTAATGAATTTTAACTAGTCTGTGATACAGCAGGTACCATATTTACTTCAGTTTAGAAAATGGAACATTCCAATTCCCTGGGCCGGCTGTGAGCCTTGGCAGTTTCTCTTCTTGAATGCCTTTAGAAGAATGTTTCCAATAGCTATATTTATAGCCTTCTATAAAACGTTTCCAACTAATTTATCTGACCTCTAGTTAGCTACTGTTTTTGTAGTAAAAACAGTCAATGTTTTTGTAGAAGCGATGGTTAACACTCTGACCGCCAAAGGTTTGAAAAAATAGTATAAGCCACTGCCAGACTTTTCAGCAAATTTTAACACTCTTCCGAAGCTTGTTGAAAGTGCGTATGTGATCAGATTCACATGTAGTGAATACTACAAGAACTACAAACATTTTAGCTTTACAATGGTACCAAATACTTTATTCTAATCAAAATCTGTGACCCGTAACAGTAAAATGAAAATGACTCACTTTTGGAGATTTACGCAATTTCGCACAACGAAGCTGAGATAATCACAATTTCATGAAAGTAAATCAATACCGCTCTACGCTAATTGTAAACAAACAAATAGTAAAATGCTTATGGTCCAGACAAAATATAGTGTTCAAATTGTTTGGTAATTAACCCATCTATTGGATTCCATAAAAAATGTGAAACACAGAGATCTCCGTGTTTGGTGGTCAAGCGTTGCGTTCCAAACACCGGAGATCGTCATGTTTGGCAGGCAGAGTGTTAAGAGATAGGATGATTTTCACGGCGGCGCATTTGCAGTTAAGTGGACCAAACAAATTGATATGGTCTGCACAAGGCTTTACAAAAATGTTCTCACCTTTAATATGCTGCTTGATTATATCCTTTTCTTGATCCTCCAAATCCAGAAACCCTTCTAGATCTGACGTTGATTCTATCTTTTTTGTATTTGCACGTGCTTTTAGAAACGACTCAAAAATGCAATTAATATGATGATACTGCTTCATATCAGAACCATCATCGCTAAAGGGGTTCGGGACGAGCTTTGCAATTCGTGGGCTCTTCTTCTCGATGCCCTGCTTACACCTCTTGCACTTTGACGTCCCGAGCTTGGCATAGTCGACAGAGTACCTTGTACTCGCCATTTCAATGCTGTTTATTCGGCTGCTAATATCAGAAATCAAGTAATCGAAAGAGCCAGTTTTTTTCACTACTGGTAGGATGAATTGGTTATGCGATGTATACGTTCCGTTTAAAAGATTACCATGTTGCACGTGTTTCGTTATGTGGTGATCTGTATACGCTGCTGGTCTAATGAAGCAACAACGGCAATGTAGATGCTGTAAAGCTGTGATACTTCTTCTACATGCAATCCAATTCAAAGCCGATGTGATTAACAACATTGAAAGTTAAGCATACATTTTGCATGTTTCCTATGTGTGCATATTACACTTGAAGCTCAGATTTCCTGCCAGTAAATGTAGTTGCATCTAAATATTAAATTTAGCAAATCTTTCTATAATTTTAGAAACTCCTTTAACCTAAAAAGTATAAAAAATACTTTATTGTATTTTGTAAACTTCATAATTGATACCAATACTATTGATACCTGTGCTACAGTTACTAAAAAAGATGTGTTTAATCTCGTTTGCTTAAATGACTCTAAAACATATACAGTACATGCAGGAAGAAAGGGGGGGGGGGTCGTCTGACAATTTCACTTTGCTTTCTCTGACCTTAGAGACAGTTGTAATACACACTAAAAAATGGGAGAGATCGTTTAATAGCCTAGGCTACTGTTATTTATAAAAACAACCGGTCACACTTGACCTGGCAATGGTGAATGTACAGTATAATGGTTTGGATTCTTTTGGAATAGAATTCTTTCCTGATATCTGCACTATGGAGAACACTGCACACTTTTATGCGAGGCAACATTACCCAGGATTTTGTATCCAATGACCAGAAAAAAACGTTCTTAAGCTAGATTCACACTAGACACGCTAACGACACGATGACATATCATTGCGTAGTTTGTATTCTTCAACATTGCGCCCATTTGTATCATGTTGTTGTGTCGTAATTGTGTCTAGTGTAAATGTAGCTTCACAGGGAAATTGCATGTGACCATACTGTGAAGTATTTTAATTTTGGGATGATACCAAAAACTAGCTCATTTGTTATGTGGAAAATTGCTAGAAAAATATGTGCGCAGAATTGTAATTACTGCATTGGTTACTGTATTAAGATTACAAAAAACCTAATTTTCGGCACCTTGTTTTCCAAAATGTGTGGACCGATTGCTAAGCCAAATTTTACAGTATACAGTATATTCCTCGCTCAAGCCTTACATTGACAGTGAGCCTGTGACCCAATGAAGGTAATAGTAGCTAACTCGTACACATGCCAACATGTACCCATGGCAACTCGGACACAAATTTAAGCAAACTCATACTGTACACACGAATGGTGATCTCGTACACATGACTTTTGGCAAACTCGTATCGAAATACATTTATGTCAATAATGCAAGATGTATTTAGTATTGCGTATGTTTTTCCACCAAATTATTTTTTGTGATAAATTTAATGATATTATTTAATCATAGTTATTTCTTTTTGTCTATACCTGTTAAAAAATAATTGTTAAAAATGAAGCACTTGAAATTTTCACTTTTGGAGAAAAATATAGTTCAAGTTTGCAGGTTCGAAATTTTGCAATAAATTGTCGTACCCTTTTGAAATTTTGCAGGATTGTATATCTGTAGACATTGTGGTTATATGTGAAATTTTAATTACAACTGTTTGTTTATTGCAAAGTTATTAGCGATAATTACAATATGTTAAATTATGTTAAAATATGTGTAGTTTTCAATATAGTATCTAACCATGAAGGAGCTGAGTACCAAAGCTGAAATTTGGTGTATAAGTAGATCTAATATATCTGATTAACTGGTGTAAATTTAAGAAAAGATTGTAACTGTCCACATAGGCTTTTTTCACTTTTTTAGGCCTGGCCCCAACTTTGAATGGATGCCATTCCATTTTAATACATTTGAATTTGATCAGCCTGTGCTTGCTTGTGAGACAACTACCCATAGATAATATATCTGTAATTTAAGATGTATACACTCACTCATGGACACAGGGTGACACTGAAAATCACAAAAAATTGTGTCGTTAAACAAAGTGGCTATTTTGAGTGCAGATAACTTAAAAAAAGAAGGGATAACAGTTAATCTGATGCCATATTTGTGTAATATGGTGGAATATAAGTTAGAATACCAAGTTTGACCTTCATAGCTATTACCAATCCAGAGTTATATGCTTCCAAAGTTGGAGGAAATTGTGTTTGCGCATCTTGAAGGGCCACGCCCCTTTTTTGAGGAGTCAATATCTCAGAAACTACAAAACCTATAACACTAATTTTTTTTAAGTGTTGGTTTTTCACATAGTGGATCATTTTTATGGAGTTTCATCAAAATCTGAGAGGGTCATACTGGAGCTTTTTTTGAAATCTGGTTGATTTGACGAGGAATGACCCCGTTACGTTGTTTTGCCTCGGGACGGCCGAGTATTTTCAGTTTCTTTTTTGTTGACCTACTGTATAATAAAGCATGAACGATTGTAGCCTACAAGACTGTTAAAGATTAGTTTCATAAACCAATGACCTAACTTTGCCTATATAAACTACAATAATGTGCTTCATTTTTAACAATTATTTTTTCAAGTTATGGTGTTTTGCCACAGAATGGCCATACTAAATTAAAATCACCATGTATGAACACTTTAGTTAGTTATCCAACAAAACATCGCCTACAATATTACAGGAATAAGCCTAACAAACATTTACTTGTACTACTACTACTACACTTTGAAGGAGTAATTCATCAAGTATAAAATACTAATTCTTTAAGTATTACTGTACTTATTGTTATTATTATTGCTGTTATTGTTGTTATTATTATTGTTGTTTTTATTACCGTTAGTTTTAATATTAATTATTAGTCTTAGCATTAACATTATGTAATGTTTAAATTTTTGCTGATAAATAAAAAATAATTCTCAATTTTTTTATTCATATTATTATTATTATTATTATTATTATTATTATTATATATTAGTCTTAGTATTATTATTTTAATAATAGTAATTTATAAAATATTGTTATTGGTGTTTTATTGGTATTTTTCTCATATTATTATTAATATTATTGTTGTAGCACATAGAGACCTTGTTTATTTGCGCTACATAAATCCGTCTATTATTATTATTATTATTGTTGTTGTCACCTTTATTATCGATATTATTACCCTATTATTACTAAGTAGGCCTAGTCTTATAAGTATCATCATTATTATTACTAATTAGTATTACTATTATTATAAAAATAAACATCTTTAATTTATTATTGCTGTTATTATTGCTATTATCACCTTCAATATCATTATTATCACTAATTAGTATTATCAACAATACCAATTGTCCCTATTGTGGATAATTGAAGGCCTACTAGATGCTATGCGCCCCACCTAATTTTAATGTTGGCCTAATTCTTGGGCGTGGTTCTAAAGAAAATAGTATCGAAATGCACACCATCGTGCATTCATTTGATTTTAGTCGGATTCAAAATAAATTTTTAACTTTTAAAAAATCATAATGTGGTTTTTCTATTTCAATTTTTTATGATTAGGTCTACAGTATGTACTCATATTTTATGTCAGTGTTTTAACGTAAAAAAAAATTAAACAGTAATATACCGGTATGTGTTTTTCTTAATTATTCAAGATTGCTTAAATTGTTAATGTTACATTATTGTAAGATTTTATTCCATTCTGTATTGTGGCGGGTTTTCTCTGTTGAATTACTGTAGGGCCTGTTTCTACTGGAAAGAAATAATCGATTAAAAATCGCTTTTTCGAATTCGTTTTGTAATTATTTTGTGGGGGGGGGGGATATTGGGCCTAGGCATCTCCGCTCTTTTGGGCCTACCGTTGTCCACGTTTGGTCGTTCGTTTATAATTGTGCCGATGAGCACAGCCGAAAACATTTGCCTTCTCGCCCCACATCGTATCTTACTTCTCGTCATCATGACAGGAATGAGAAAAATACTATCCTATACAGTTAGGAAAACGACGTGTTGTATAAACAAAATGGTGACATAATTTCTGTCACGAAAACCGATTTTCGAAAAATAAAAAATGCTGTTGCAACGCCAGCAGGCTGTCTGGAACTCATTAAAAAAACGGTTTAAAAAAATCAATTATTTTGTGTTTATCAGTAGAAACACACCCCTAAGAGTACTTACAGTGTTAAGAAATGAATACAACTATCTCACGACGATGATCAGAATTTTACTAAAATATACTGTGTACCGTACTCGGCGGAAAAGATAATCGTCCAGAGAACATGGCTCATGACAAGAATTCGTGAATATTTACATAACAGCGTAATAGCAGATGCAATTAGTGGTGGTTAGCTTGTTGGCCATCGGCCGATTGAGATTAGCAGGATGGCAGGAACATTGTATTTTTTCTTGAAAACTCAGATGAGAATGTGCTAAAGGTTGGAAAACAGAAAAAGAGGAGTAGGACTAGGCATAGACAAATACGGTATGTAAAATGAGTAAAGTTGGAAATATACTGTCTGTCCAGGGATCGGAGCTCTCATCAGTCCCAGAGAAATATCCTCATTTTTTATATTGACCTAAGAAGAATGTGTTTCCACTCTGCAGCTCAAATCATGACAACAACCACAGTCCCAGAATTGATTGGATTATTGACTTGCTAAAAAGAAAATCTTATGAAAGTATTAGGGGGCGCTTATTCAAACGAGGCGCTTAAGGAAATTTTCACGTTTTCACGGCTCTTATTCGAGAGGGGCGCTTATTCAAACAGGGAGATGTAAAAAACGGGGTGCTTATTCGCGCGAGTACGGTACTTCATTTCAAGAAAAAGGATGCAAAAACTGAGTAATATTTACATTTCATTTTAATTATAAATGACTTGTGGCCGAGTTGACTGTAGCCGAACTTTTTGTGGCCGAGTTGATTTGTGGTCGAGTTGACTTGTGGCCGAGTTGACCTACTTCTAATCTCTCGAGTTTGTACAAGATACAAGCAACTGCCTGCCGTCTTTGTGGTTGTATTCTAAACAAACAGTCATGGGAATTCATTCATTCAAAAGGTGTTAATATCTTAGTAAAAGTACATTTGCTACTTACAAAAAAAAATGTTATATTCTTGAATGATTATCAAACAAGTCTGGAACACGCTACTACCTGTACTAAGGCAAACAAGCGGCGAACAGACTGCAGTCGCACAGTCGCATGCTAAATTTTGTTGTCATTGTTTAGCGCCCTCACATTTACATGGTTGGTACCGTGGGTACCAACCAGGTACGAGTTGAGTTCCATGCAAAATGTTTCGTACGGAAAGAAAATCGTTACCTAGTGAATACAAATGAATATGCTTGAGATAGTTGACATATCTTATTTTTACAGTTTAGGCATCGATTGGGAATGTATATAGGCCTAAAAAGTTTGAATTACTTACTTTAGGAACCACGTTTTTAAGCACGTTTTTTCCTTTTTTCCTGAAGGACATATGATGAGAGTCTTAATTTTCGTTTATCAAACTTAGATGGACGCTATGATATACAGTATAATATCCCACTTGATAAAACCTCTTCCCGCTGCGGACAACAGCCGCTGTGAATTTATCAACTTGAATTGATGTGTATATATTTGTACACCAAACTACTCAAGAAAGATGAAAATTATCAAACTCTTTACTGATGATTGGCAATAAACTATCAAAACATGTCAAACATTTGCACTTACTGTCTATAAACTCAGATCGAAGGGGTTTCAGATCTCAGACCATTCGTTTGGTCAAATGGGCAATGAAGTACTGATGGTATCAGCATCTGGCTGCTGTAGGCAGGCTTCATCTGATCTCAATATTCATTGTCCTTGAGTTCAGTTCTTACTTCACAGAATTGGAAGTGTTATAGGCCATGGAAGGCAATCACCGCCTTGATAATGAATGGTTTGAAAGAGCTTGTAAGAAATCAACTTTAAATGAATATCTCAGATATAAAAACAAACCTTTCTTTGAGACATATCTATATGATAAAACTGACTTCAAAGGAATCAGCCTTAAGTTTAAAGCAAGGTCTAATTGTTTAGCTTTAGAAGGTAGGAAAAGTACATGGTCTGATAAGTGCACAGGTTTTTGCAAATTATGTAACTGTAACTCTGTTGAAAATATAGAGCACTTTCTATTAAAATGCCCACAATTTTACAATATTAGGGCTAATACCTTCCATGAAATTAAAATTGCTCTATTTAAAAATAATTTACATGGATATTGGGAAAATTTCTCCAATGGTTCACCACATCTAAAAATTTATTATTTGCTTGATGATCTTTTCTCAACAAATTCGACTCTTGGCTTAATTTTTGATACTTGTATTAAAGAATATCTAAAAGATGCATGGGAAAAACGAACACAAGATTTAAATGACCCTGCTAATAATGTTAATAGCTTATAGGTGTTTTTTCCCATTTTTTTCTCTTTCTTTAATGATTTTATGAATAGACATTGACTATACTTCTGTTGTGTTTTTGATATGTATGCTTTTACATCAATTTCACATTGCATTTATTATATTATGTGCTTATTTTTATTTATTTATCTACTTTTATTTACTTTATTTTATTATTACATATTTTTTTTCTTTTTATTTTTTTCTTCTTTTTTTCCCCTTTTAGTTAAGATTTTAAACTTTAGAATATTATATTATTTTAATTGGATTTGGATTTTTCATTACTATTGTCTCTTTTTTATGAATTTATCTTTACTTGTAACTTTTGTTCTGTTCTGTATGGTCGAACCTCTCCTGCGTGAGAGTGTTCCTCTGCTTAGAAAGAGAGAGCCAATAAAATTAAATTAAACCGCCAAAAATACAATTTTAGACAATAAACGTGCTTTCTCAAACAAACAACGTACATTTACAAATAAACAATGTATTTTTAAAAATAAACAACATACTTTTACAAACAAAGAACGTTCTTTTTAAAACAAACAACGTATATTGCTAAACGATGTATTTTCTCAAACGAAGAACGTACATTGTGAAACGAAGAACGTTCCATGCCAAACAATGTACATTGCCAAACGAACAACGTACTTTCCCAAACGATGTAAAATGCCAAATGAACAACGGAATCGTCCATTATTTCAACGGGGTATTTGTAATTTCGCGCATCACACGCTGAATTTGTCGACAAGATAACGTCCTCACCACCAGTTATCAAATTCTTGAGGATATTTCCCATACGATTAAAATCGTAACGGTACTGGGTTTGGTCTACAGGAGCTCGTGTTTCGTACAGGTCATTCCATTCATAGAAAAAGCCTTTAATGGTGTTTCTCATAGTCCAATGAAGAAATTATGAAATTTTGGTGTAGGGTTTGGATGTGAGGACCATTCGAAGGGAAACGTCCCAGACCAGATATTTAAAGCACGGATCAACTGATCTGAATGAAACGTTCGAGAAAGTTTAACCATGGAGGTATTATAGTGAAATTGTGGTTTCTCATGGCCGGCGGAAGCGGGGGGGGGGGCCGGGTAGGCCCGGGCCCCCCCACTTTTCGGCGAAAAATATATAATGTCTGGAGATTTTTGTATGGCTGCTGAGAAAGTTTAACTTACCGTTTTCATGAGGTCATTAGACACCTAGCTCAAAAGTCGAGAAAAGTCATAGAAATCAAAATTTTCCCGGGGAGGAATGTTGACCCCACCACCTAGATTTGATTCCAGATCTGCATGATTCATATTCCCAATCATCTTATAAGCAGTGGAGTAAAAGGCGGGGGCCAGGGGGGCAGACTGCCCCCCCCCCCGACGGTTTTTACCGGGCTGACCAAGCCGTCGTACCGGGCTGGGTAAGAAGAGAAAAGAAAGAGGAGAGAGGGAGGGAAAGAGAAAGTAGGGGAAAGAAAAAGAAAGGAAAAAGGAAAAGAAAAAGAGAAGAGAAAAATAAAGACAAGAATAAAAAGGAAGATATAATGAACAGATATCACAATACCCCGGCCTGCAACCCCTTCTCCACTTCAAAAAGTGTCCATATCGCATTTGGTCTAAGCCGCCGGGTATTCTCCGCAGTGGTGTAACCACCGGGGAACAAGGGGAAAATATCCATCTGTGGAAAATCTTTCCCCATTAAATGCCCTTTTCACCCGGGAAAGTGCCTGAAAATCTCAAATTTTAAATCCAATATTTTGTTGAAGTAGACCAATTTCCTCTAAAAATTGCACATTTTAGGGAGTTTTTTTTATCAATTCCGACGAAATTAGAAAACAACATTTTTCGCGCGCTACGCGCGCATTTTTTAATGTTACAGCTTGTGCTTGCTCTCCTTTGCTTTATAAATTATAACACATAGTCCCAAACTCAAGAAAGAAAATTTAAGGATAGATCGTTTATAAAAGAAGGGCCTCAATGTGTAATGATGTTGAAAGAATATGTTTGTAATAAATAAATCCATAAGGAAAATGCTTATATTCAGTTCAAAAAAACGAGTGTTAGACCAGGCTATAACTGAGATAGGTGCCACTTGGAGAGGTAGAAATTCTCATATGGTTTTTCTAGACCAGTTTTTTATGGGGAATCAGAATATGTGAGGTAAAAGGGGTGTAACCTGAGAACTTTCGCATGAGGGCGCTTAGATGTGTATAAGAGACAGGTATGTGTACACATTCGTAAATTATTAAAATGCTTAAAATTACTCTTAAAAACTAAATAGAGCAGGTTTTAGCATATGGTAATTTCAATCGGCACCGCGCGTCCTTCGTGAGGGTCAAAATACGGTGGATCACCAAACACGTCCTCAGTGACGAGTTCCAATCTAGTCTTATTCTTCTTTTGCACGATATCTCGAGAATGCCACGAGTTACACACAAGATT